ACCGGCAACATACATGGTCAGGCAGTTATCTGGATGTTCACTTATCATGTCCATGGCCAAGTTTCCCGTGGTCCCATAAAGTTTGTTTACAGCCACCAGTCCTGGCTCTCAGTCCTGTTCTGTAGCTCTAATTTACCCCTAACTGTATTTTAAGAGCCCAACAAGCAATGGAAGTGTTGGTAATGCTGCTAGACAATATTGACTTCCATGGTCTGGCATTTCCTCTGGTTCAGCACCAGTTAGTTTCTGAGGGTGCCGGACTAAAGAGGTTCAACCTGTACTCACTTAATTCATTCTCACAAGAAACAGCCCAGGCATGTAAGATGCCTGACTTCAGGAGAGGGGTTCCCAGCTGTGGATCACAGGCAGAGCTAGGTGCCTCCTGGCAGCCCGGACTTAAGTGCCAAACTTTTCGATGGGGAAATGCTTAGGATACACCCTGCTCATCAGCATTTCTCATTGGCTCAGTTAGGCAGCTCTTTGCAGTAGTCTGCTGGCTTTTGTGAATCAATTCTTAGCAATCTGTCATTCCCTATTCATTATATATGGGGGTTGTGGATCCTATTGTTGTTGGTTTCTAGGTGCCTAAAAGTGGTGATGCAATAGTCAGTGCCTTTGTGGGTCTAGCAATAGTTGCAGTCATTCTTGAGTGTTTATAAAATAGCTCTTTCCCCAGCTTGTATTGGCTTTGGGGTGGCATTGATTGGTGGGGTAAATGCAGTTGTGCACAAGTTCTCATAACTGGTTGATCTAACAACTGTATTAATTGTCGTAACACTTTTATTTTCGCTTCATTACAATGAGAGTTTCTGTATTCACAAACAAATCCATCGAGTCCAGTGGTACCTTAAACACAAGGCTACGTCTACACTTCCCTCTCTTGCGCAAGAAAATAGGCAAAGCAGTGAATATTGCTGTGCCTCATTTGCATACTTAATGAGCTGCCATTTTGTATAAGAGGCTTTTGCGCAAAAAGGAGCCGTCTACATGGCTTCTTTTTGTGCAAAATCCCCCTCTTGTGCAAGAGCCGTTCTTCCTGAAAAAAGTAGCAGAACGGCTCTTGTGCAAGAGGGGGTTTTTGCACAAAAAGGAGCAGTGTAGGTGGCTCTTTTTTGTGCAAAAGCCCCTTGCGCAAAAATGGCAGCACATGAAGTATGCAAATGAGGTGCAACGATATTCACCACTGTGCCTCGTTTGCATATTTTCTTGTGCAAGAGAGGGCAGTGTAGATGTAGCCTAACAGTTTTTTTATGGCTAAAACTTTTATGAGTTGCAGCTTACTTCATCGGATGCATGAGAAGTGCTTTTGTGTGTTCTGTGGAAAATATCACTTAGTTTGGCTGCAGTGCAAATGTACTTTTTTTTTTAAATACACCAAGGCTTCTCTAAAGTACACAGGGAAAGATGACTTTGTAGGAGCCTCACTGAGTGAGCACCGTAGGTGGGACAGTATTCTGTTGGTGTCCCAGCCAAATTGTAGCAGATTCTGGATCACTTTTATTTTTTGCCACCTTCATAGAGGCAAGGGGAAATGTAGGAAATTCACTTTAAAAAATGGAAGTTGCACAACTATGTGCTCCAATCAGAAAAGACCAAGCAGAGAAAGCAGGTGCAGCCTCAACTCTGGTGTCTGTGTATTCCCATGCATTTATTTAAATGGCATAATCCTGTACTGCTATTGAAATAACACCAGATAATTTATCTTCAACAGCCTTTCATATAAATGTAGAGATTCTGGATGCATATAAAACATATATTAAATGATATACCATGTCACTAGAAGACAAAACAGCTATACAGATGTAGGTGGGTGGGGGAATAGCATAATACGGTTTTGAGAATAGCATGTGGGGAGATAATTAAAGAGTGTATCATAATGAGTAGTTTTCAGTAGCACACAGTTAAGGTTGCATATATAGCCTTAACTAAAGCACTTGCTGACCCAAATGCTTAACCAGGCACCATTAACCATTTGCTGGATGATGAGTGGGGCTGGAATCCAAATTATGGAATCAAAATTATGGGAGGAAGTAAAAGGGCAAGAATATCTTTCACTTGGTGAATATGAGAGGGAGAGAGTAAGGGGGAAGGATCAAGAGAATTCTGCTTTCCCCCTTTGATGTGCTATAGTACTAAAGAGTCTCAGGGCCCTTTTCTCTAAGAGGACCAGAGTTCTGGGTGAGTGTGCATGTTGTTTATGAGCTAGTTTGGCTGCAAGAAGACCAGTTCAACCAGGATGGGGTGTTTATGGTGGCTGCCTGCATTTGCTAGATGACAGTACTGTAACTTTTAGCATACTCTATGGCTATGTCTAGGCTGTGGGCTTCTTGCACAAGAACTGTTTTGTTCAAAAGTACTTGCGCAAGAGTGCGTCCACATTGCCATGTGCTTTTGCGTAAGAGTATCCATGGCAGTGTGGACACTCTTTGCAAGAAAGCTCTGATGGCCATTTTAGCCATAGGGATTTCTTGCGCAAGAAACCCCTGTTGCCCGTCCACACTGCCTTCTTGCACAAG